CCCCGTCTAACTCTGGCTGGGACACTGCTACATGCACCAAACTTGCATCAGTTACTCATATATATCCCTTATATATGCTGTATGAATTACTTTGGGCTGAGCCATAAGGAAAAGATTCTAGCTGGGGGGGCATTTTATAGCAGGCCACCCTGCCACAGAATGCCCCCCCGTCTAACTCTGGCTGGGAAACTGCTACATGCACCAAACTTGCACCAGTCACTCATATATATCCCTTATATATGCTGTATGAATTACTTTGGGCTGGGCCATAAGGAAAAGATTCTAGCTGGGGGGGCATTTTATAGCAGGCCACCCTGCCACAGAATGCCCCCCCTGTCTAACTCTGGCTGGGAAACTGCTACATGCATCAAACTTGCAACAGTCACTCATATGTATCCATTATATATGCTGTATGAATTACCAAAGTAATTCTCAGGCTCTCTCCTTCTGCAAGGAATTTCTTATAAATGAAATCAAGCAATAACTGCTGAATTACTCCTATTGTCTGAATGCTTAGTAAAATATAGCATACAGTATGGGCTGTGGCTTTGATACCTGTCCCAGCTCCATCTGTGGGGTTTACATGTTCTCTCCATGTTCATGTGGGCTTCTTACACAGACCTATGATATATATTGTATGTGAGAGTGTGTGTCCTCTGATGGTCTGACTGCCCTGTCCTGGGTGTCCTTTGCCTTGTGCCCAGTGTTTCCTGGGAAAGGCTCCAGGCACCACAACCCTGTACTGGACAAGTGGTTACGGAGATGGATGGATGATGGATGCTTTTTAAAAAATAAGAAATATATTTAACATTCTGGGCAGTTTTGTAACATTTTATTTTTAAATTCCCACAGTGTTCTGGGTGAGGCAAACATTTTCCGTTCATAACATTTGTAATTCATAAGTTTAATTTCAAAATATAATGAAAAGTATAAAATAAAGAAAACATAAAATACAAAAGCAGGAAATGCCACAGGTATAAGTCTGGTACAAAAGTTGGTGACAAATTGTTTACATTAATATATAACAGCATATTATTAAATTGCCTTTATCTTAAACACATTAAGACCTTAAAAATTCCATAAAAATGTGAATAGCAATGATAATGTGGTAGATGCTGCTTTCATGAAGCTCATTTGAAGAACAACTTCATGAACCTTTGGACAGGAGCTTCCTAAGGCAGGACTGTCAGTCCCTCCTCCCCACATCATCATAGTCAGTCTGGTCAGGTTCAGGGGGGCCCTCCCCAGGGGGCAGTATGGTCAAGGCTCTCGCACCTACAGGGTAGGGGACACAGGGTATTGACAAACTATAATTGGAACTTAGTAGAAGTGAGAGTTCTTAGTTTTTTAGTTATGGCAGACACACATAAAGTGATTCAAGGTCAGTCCAAATCAGTCACACTCAAATGAATATCATTGTTTATAAATAATAAAAAATTATGAATATATAAAAAGAAGCATACAGGTTATCAAACCATCTGACCTAATAAAACACGTGGGCTCTGCTCTATACCCTCGACATCATCATAGTCCTCTGATCTGCCTCCTGTCACCATCAACCCTGATCCTGGAAAAAGAGAGACCTCAGTACACAGTGGACTGTTAGAGTTGAAATTTCCATCCATTTTCTGAAATCACATATCCTATTTAGGGTCACAGAGCCTATGGGCACAAGGCAGGGAGCAACCCAAGTTGGGGCTCCAACCCATCACAGGGCACACTCACACACCATTAACACCTATGGGCAATAACACCAATTAGCCTCAGCATGTTTTTGGACTGTGGAGGGGAACTGGAGTACCTGGAGGAAACCACCACAACAACACAGAGAGAACATGCAAACTCCACACACATGGAGTCATGGAGGGACTCAAACAGAGGTCCCAGAGTTGTGAGGCAACAGTGCTACCCACTGCACCACCATGCCACCTCCTCATTTGAAACAATTACTCCACAAGTCTTTAAAAGTCCACAACATAATAAACAGTGTTTGTGGTTTAAAAGAAAACGCAAGCGCTTTTGAAAGAGAACACGAATTACGCTGTCCGGAACTAGGGTAATGACGATGAGCCTTCAACCATCTTAATTGTTAACATTTTAATTATTACCATATAGGCCCGATGTTATCAGTTTTGTTTTCTTTCTTGTGTCGGAGAGTTTCACTCTGTGTGTGGGGCGGAGCAGGCAACTCTCAAACACTCCAGCGTGCGTGAGAGTTGCGTTACTCTGCCCTGATCACAGACAGCGCCGTCCTCGGAGACACAGAGCTGCTAAGAACAATGTATGGCGGAGAAAACTGTTTGTTCGAAAGCGTGGTTACCATTCACTTGAGCTGATGCTGACAATGGTCCTTCAGTACAACTTTTTTGCATTTGAGAGCGGAGATTCGAACAATTTGTCAGATGTCTAGATAAAAAGTGCAGGACTTTGCGCAGTTAGTTTCCTCATTAAACATGTCTATCCTTTATACAGGCTTATACGTCGACAATGTCACAATCACTAGGGGCTTATGTTGTTTTTTGCATACAAGGCTGTGATACGACAAAGTTATTTTGTTTTATTTTCCTCGATCGCTAGATTCTGATTGTGAATTTGGCTTGTGAGCTATCTGTCTGCTAATAACATAAACAACATGTTAGTGAAAGGTTTTGAGCCTTGTACACTACTCATCATACCATGATGCACTTAGTTAATAGTGTTTTTTTCTTTCAAAATTGGAGTATTAGAGTGTAATTGCTTTAATGTGCATGGAATACTGGAATTGTAGAATGAATTGAAGATGAAGGCACTATAATAAAAATGCTAATCTTGTATTTTTAATAATAGTAATTAAATAGTAATTTTTAGTAATTGCTGTCTGATGGATGAACAAAAATCTAATCCTGTATAGCAGCATTTCACCAAGCCAACACCAGGAAAAGCCAGGTACAATATCTGCAGCAGTCTGGTGAGCTTGGGAGCTGAAGGAGTTTGCTGCTATATTGTGCACTAAAAGAGATTCTGATGCTGCTATTTTTATTGTTTATAAGTTTAAGTTGTTTACAAGTTGTTTTGTGTTTTTGTTATTTAAGTTTATATTTAAATTTACACAAGTCAGTATTCAATAAATGCTACGTTGAGAAATTTTGTGTATCATTTGATATTATTAATGTGATATTTTATCATGCAAATAGAGGGGAAAACATCCAATTTTCAGCCAAAAAATATCGGCAGCATATATCGGCCATCGGCTGACCCTGAGTCCTAAATATCAGCATCGGCATCAGCTATTGAAAAACCCATATCGGTCAACCTCTAATTCAATTCACCAGTAGTATCTTGCAATTGCATCCCTGACCACATGTCCAGTCTGTCCCTCATTTTGAGAGAACATTCGAGGTTGCTCTGGTTTATTGTGGTGTTTTCTGTTTGTTCAAATTAACACATAATGGCTATTTGTGGCCACTGGTATTTTAGCGCTACCTGTTGTTCTTGATATAGCCAGTAGGCTACACTGTTGGTTCCATTTAATGCACTAGTAAACCAGATTTGATAATTCTGAATATTCTGTATTTGGATAACAGTGATACAATCCAGTGTTGCTTTGAAAAAATGGCATAAAAGTAAAATGGATTATTACCAGATCCTGGATAGTAAAACAGGGGATTCGGATCACTTTGATCCAGATTAAATTGTTTGAACAACTGGGCCCATATCCCCTGTATCAATCACAGAAAAGCTGCTTCTGTGTCTCAGACATGCATCATTGTAGACTTTCCATCACTCCATTTATTATACTTGTATAATTAATATTTGCCTTGGATGGCATCAAATATACTTATAAGGATAAAGATATTCAATCTGATACTGAGATAAAATAATGAACTGAGGTAAATCAGGGTAAACACCCACCTGATAGATTTTCTGCAATCTTTTCTGTAATGACAGCATCATCATCATCGTCCTTCACTTCTCTCTCTGATTTCTCTGAGGTAAAATATAATCGTTAAAGACTAATGATGCCCTTCATAGTGTTAAAAGAGGGTTCCTATTACTAAACATTAATTCTACCAAATTCACAGACCTCAGCCCCCCTACCTGAGAGAGGGTCTCCTTTACTGTCCTCCACATCTTCATACCCAGAGGGCAGCTCCTCAGAGAGGACACTTCCTATGAAGGAGAGAGACAGTCAGTCTTGTGCTCAGGGAGACTCTGCATGAAGTTTCCTCAGACACCACATGAGGGCCTCATGTGGTTTCTGAGCTATACTCATATAGTAATAGATGAAAAATCAAAAGGAAAAACAGAGACATGTATAGTGATACATATATTATTGCAGAAATGTCATTAATTCATATAAAAAATATTAATCTAATGACTGGAAATTGACTGTCTCACAATATCCCATTTTAAAATACCGTGTATGTGTGGCCAAGTGATTGTAGAAGTTTGTTTGTCTGAATCTGCAGAGGTCAAGAAGATGAACTCACCCTTGTGAAGGGCTCTGTAGGTCTCCCCCCTGGTCAGATTGTACTCTATCTCCTCATAAATGGTGTCACGCAAAGGGGTGAGACCCTCCTGGTACAGAGCTGTGGAGGTGGACATACAGAGACACAGCTGACAGTCCAGGCAACATTTTTCACTTTAATCTAAAGCCTCCATAAATCTCTGTATCATGGGAACAACAGTGTCCTTTGCTGTTGTATATGGGTGCTTTTCCACCACACCAGGTACCATACTTTTTATACTTAAAGAAAGTACCAAAAGTATGGTACTTCAAGGTGCTAGTTTTCCCCTGGCAGGACATTTTGTACTGAATTCCAAAATAGGCTGTAGTATCTGATGGGGCTGGACGATGTGTGATATTAATAATAACATCGCATGTTATGTACATGCAGTTACATCGCTAATCAGGTAAATTAAGATCAGTCTTTTATTACCTTCAGATCTTTACAGGCATTATAGCGCAGAAAGTTTAAGCTTCACTAAAGCATTTTTACTCCAACACAGGCAAAAAAACGTCGCAAGTTTTACAATTTTAATCATTATTCCTTTTCAAGATATTCTAGCATATGTTTAAAAATCATTTTAAAGTTTACCTCCATTGCTCTTGCGTGAGCACTGCATGCGTTCTCCGAGACAATCATTATCATTTTCGTCCTGGCTGTTTAAATTACTCTGCCACATCGGGGCCTGGACCACGCCCCACAGTGGACGCAACCCGGAAGGGAACCGCCCCTTTTACTTAAAAGGACGGTCCTGGACCAGCAGACTTTGCAAAGTATTGTTGCCATTGTTTAGATGTGCCTTGCTGAGTGTTTGATCGTCTGTTGTCTCTCTCTCGTGCCCCACGTATCCTGCCTGCCCTGTCCTCCACGCCTGCCCGTCCCGGACCTCCTGTCATCCTGCCTCCTGCCTGTTCCTGCCTCCTGTCCAGCCCTGACTCGTGTCCTGTGTGATCGTGTAGGACTTATCCCCTTGGTTTACGACCCTTCTGCTCCGTCCCCGACTACGTCTCCAGTGCCGCCCTTTGGATTTGTTATTTATCGGTATCTTAAACCCGGTGTCTCCTGCATTCTGGGTCCCGACTCTGGTGTCCTGCCTGATCGTGACATATTCCTAGATCGGTTTTTTGAGAGATATTTTTAGCGTTATAAATATCCCGATATTTATTAAAACTAAATCACGTTGCTATATTTGAAAGATTTCTAATACCATGCTGCTCTAGTATATTATACAAAATACTTTAGGCCTATTTCTTGTCATGCCATCCTGATCTTGCTGTATCTGCTCTTTTGACCAGATCTCAATTTAAGTTTGGATCTCTTTATTATCCCAGCAGCCATTATTATTGCTTTTTTACTTTATTTATCATTGTTTTCTGAATTTGCAACTTTTTTCAAGACGCCGGTTGTATTGTGTTTCAGATGGTTTGGCACTTTAGGTACTGGAGCTTTTGGTACTGGTGCTCGACCGGAAGTCAATGGAAAAGGGAAAGTACTAAAAGCATGGTACCTGGTATGGTGGAAAAGCACACTATGATAACCAGCACAAGAGGTGTGAACATCTCGGCCCAGAAACTGAGTGAAAATGCTGTAGCGAGGATGTTCTGTGAGATCAGCATAGGCGAATCTCCAAGATGAACAGAGAAGTGTCTCCTTATAGATCCAAATCGATCTATACAGCAGACTATTTCTAAATTAGGTTGTTATTGACTAGGCTTATTTCCTTTGTTACATGACCCCTAACCTGTGTCTGTCTGCCACTAAAGCCAACAGTGGAAAATGTAAGTGATAATGCAGGCTTAATATGAATCTTTCAGACAGATCATTCTTAATGTGAGTCACCCAACAGCTCTATCCTTCTGTACCTCTCTTCAGCAGTCTGTTCTGGTACAGCTGGACAGCTGTTATCACCAGCAGCAGGAAGAGAAGGGATCCCAGTACCAGGAAGACCACAAAAGGAATGGATGGGCCTTTTGAGAAGAGTACAACTGGAAGAGGAACTGACAGAGAGACTTCAGTATAAAATGTGCCTGACAGTGCAGAATGATAGTACTAAATAAACATGCAAATATTTTATCTGTGTCTAAAATTGTATTTAAAATTGTTAGAAATTAATGTTGTGACTGGAATAACTAAAACTTTATCTTATTAAAAATATGAAATATCCATTTTCTAACCACTTATAAATGTCAAGGTTGCAGAGTTACACAAATATATTAAAAATTACCCCGCCATACAAAGTTAAAGCACTGAAAGGAAAAACATGGTTAAGTTACCTATGGCAATTAACTAGTTAACTATGTTATATATATCAGACTGTAAAAAATTACCATTTTTTGTTGTTGTAGATGTTGCTGGAATCCCTGAAATAATAAATAGATATAGGTATATAAACAGAATTAATCCTACATTTGATAAATTCAAATACATTAAATTCATCAACTCTACCTGTTTTGGCCTTAAGCAGCGATGAACCTGTGAAATTGAAGCATCAAATGTCATTAATAAACATTCTGAGAGTTTTACATTTTTCTAGAATTAATGCTATTTTCTAAAGTTTTGTTTATTCTAAAAGTCAAATAACTCTAATGTTGAGGTTACAGTCTGTCTGCAGCCCCAGTCCCACCTGCACAGGTAACACCAGCATCCTCCTTGTGGCTGCAGTTCCTCTGGTCCTGAAGAGAGTGAGGACAGTCCCACAGGTGGAGCTCATCACCCCTGCAGTTCACCTCATTCAGCCAAATGGTGCCAGTTCCTCGTCCAAAGGCAGAGTTCCCATGAGCCTCCAGTGCTGTCCCACAGCCCAGCTGTCTGCAGACCACCTGGGCATCTCTCAGGTCCCAGGAGTCGTCACAGACCGTCCCCCAGGAGTCGTCATGCCACAGCTCCACCCTCCCTGAGCACTCGCTACTGCCCCCCCGCAGTCTCAGGGGTAGGTGGCCTAGGGGGCGATATTTGTTTTATTTCGTTGAAGAGACCGGTTTGCATCTACAGTTAAAATACACTGCCTTTCATTTTCCCAAATATTTGTAAAAGACCTTCAAAAGTTTCTGAAGGTGATGTTTAAAAAAAAGACAGAAAACTAGTTCATTTATAAGACTGTGATGAAGTTTTCACTTTATCTATAAAGTAATGCATGATACAAAGGCTATTAAGCCTAAATAGTTAGAACTGTCTCCTGCTTTGCCTCATATACAGATGGTTTTCTATACACATACTGATGACTGCACACGTCTCTTTGGAAAGCAATAGTATGTTTTTTATTTACTCATGTTGGCACAAGGTGGTGATTACTGTATGCATTTTAATCTGGCCTCATTTCCCATAAAAAATATAAACTTTAATTACTATTTTTAAAAAGTGCTCCCAAAATTTTGTAAATGCCAATATTTTTAGACAGTGGAGCCAAAATATTTGAAAGATTTTTTGCACTTCATTGCACTACAGTCAGCAGAACCAAGTTCTTTAAATTTCTAAGTACCACCATTTAACAAAACCTCAAATGTGACTAAAATATCACCTGCATAATTAAGAAGACCCAACAGTGTCTGTAATTCTTGGTACAGCTGAAGAGATTCAGGCTGCCACAGACAATTTCCCAGTTTTACGCAGCTGCAATCCATTGTTACATCATTGATTTTTGTCTAGTTTGGCTCTGCATCACCATAGCCAACAGTGAATTGTGCCGTGTGCAGAGAATAATATTCGCTGTCAGTTCCTGTATGTGAAGTCCTATCCTCATCATGTCTACGGCTAAGAAAATAATGCCTGACCCCTCTCAACCTGATCGCTTCCTCTTCCAGCATCTCCCTACTCGGTGAAAGAGTAAGAGCCTGAGTACAACTGCAGCTCATCATCTGAACAGCTTCTTCCCCCTAACAAGGACCCATGAGAAGCACCCTTTGTTTCATGCATCCTTTTCATGCTTAGGCACCCACTGTACTTCATACTCCCGTTGCCTCTAAGCTTACTTGCATATATCCCAAACCATTTGTACCCCACACCTTGTCGTCTGTCCAGATGTTTATTTGTTTATTTATTAATAGCACATTTTCCTATTCTCCCTCTTTTTTAATAGGGGTCCAAGGACACAGTGCTGAGGGGTGTTCAACAAAGCATGATGTCACGCCCGGCTCGTCCAATCCTCGTGTCTGCCACGCCCCCCTCGTTACCTCATGTTAATTCCTTATTGTCTTCACCTTATCAATGTCTTATAATATGTCTTCACCTTCATATTATCAATTATAATTATTATTCACCTGTTGCCTGTTGTTTTCTGCCTACCCTGTGTATTTAGTCTGCGTCTGAGTCAGTATTCCCCAGTCCGGTCATTAACGTTGTAACGTTGTATTGTTGTAGTGTTGAGTAGTGCCGTGTTTTCCCCTGTTATGCCCTTGCGTCTTCCCAATAAACCCTTTTGTTTAACCCCGTTCCTGCCTTCGTTCGCCTGCTTCCCTGGTCCGTGTTCCACGCATTATGACACATGATTTCTCAGTTAGTTGGGTTTACTTAAGCTAGACATCAGGACAATAGAAATGCTCTTTAGCTAAACTCTTATTGGACAATGACTTATAGCTTACATTAATCCTGCTAACCAAAAAAATCCTACTTTGTGGAACACCCCCCTTGAACCATATTGTATTTGCTAGGATTTTTCTTCTTATTATTCTTCTTCGGCAATAAAATGATTTATGGAGCAGAAATCGTAAGGTATAGAAACACCAAATTTGGTGGAGTGATGTAGAATTTCCTCTACTACCCAGGCAAGCAAAATCATACACATTGACTTGATGGTGGCACTATAGCTTGGTGTTTTACTTTTTAGCTTGTTTCTCTGGAACCATGAGTCATAGAAACAAAATTATTTTTTCCAGACATTCCTTGGCTCATGCCAAAAATATTGCAAAGTGGGACTATGAAGCTCTGCCTACTTAAATGTTTTGCTAATTTGCATAATGTAAAAATCCACTATTGCAAACTAGTTGTAGAAAGGTAATCTAAATCACATAAAATTTGAACTATAGCATTTTGAGGCCATGTAGAGATAATGATCTTCACAGGATTTTGATCAGGCAAATTGTTTTGATGCTACAGACCAATGAATTTCATGGGAGTGGCCTTTTAGCTCTTAATGACCAATTTGTCATCAACGGGATGCAACATTCCCTCCAATGTTCAGGACTGGAAAGAGACACTGATCAGTCTACTGGTGGCACTATAAGTGCTGTGTTTTATGTTTTGGCCCATATTTTCTGAGCTGTGGGTCATAGAAAGTAAATTCTTTTTTATCCACATTTCTTGGCTTATTTCATATTTTTTCATAAATATTTCATATTTATTCATATTTGCATATACCATTAAACCCCGCCCCATAGATCTTTAGCTAATTTGCAAAATCTGCAGGATCAACTTTTTCAAACTCAGCCCTGATTCACATAAAATCTGAATTGCAACATCTTGAGGCCACCAAAACAAATTCCTTCTCCTTCTATGGCAAATAAGGATTCTGAGCCCGGCTGTGGTAATCATACAAACAAATAAGCGTAAACACAAAGCGGACCTATAAAAATAGTGTATACAGTAACTTACCATCACAGGTGATCTGAGCCACTTCACCTTCATCACAGTTATAGTTTCCCCAGTTAGAGGACGGGCACTGCCACAGTGTGGAGTCATGTGGGCGACATTTCAGGTTATCAAGCCAGTTCGGAGCTCCTTTCAGCCGAGACCATGAGTTAGAAACAGTCCCACTCTTTCCACAGTTGAGATGTTGACATATCAGGCTGACTGTGTTTGTGTCCATTTGATTGACGCACACATTTCCCCAGGTGCCATTGTAGAAAACCTCCAACTGCCCACAGCAACCATCAGCCAACTTGATTTCCTTATATTCTACAGGGAGTTTAAAGGAAAAAAAAATAAGTTAAGAATTATTTATATACAGAGAATAAATTTGTTGAAATATTATATCATTAACCATGAAATTTTGTGTTTGTTTTTAATTCGTCAAAAGTCTTAACCTAAAGTAATACACCTAAACTATAAAAGTCAATTTACATCTTTCATCATAATTTTTTCCCCTTTTCTTTAGATGAGGAGGCCTTATGTTAAATTTTCATACCTGAACACACAACTCCTACATCCTCTTTATGGACACAGTCATTCTGTCCCCTCGGTGCTGAAGGACAGTCCCACAGAGACGTCTCATTCCCCTCACAGTCCACCTCATCCAGCCAGATGAATCCAGTTCCTGGTCCAAAGAAGGTGGGCACTGGGTCACGGAGAGCCGTCCCACACTGGAGCTGTCTGCACACCACCTGAGCATCCTTCAGGTCCCAGGAGTCTCCACACACTGTCCCCCAGGAGCCCTGGTGGAGCACCTCCAGCCTCCCTGCACAGCCCCCAGCATCACCCACCAGCCTGATGGACCTGTGATCTGGAGAAGGAGGTTCAGAGGGAGGTCATTTGTTGCTAGTTATTCATCTCATAATTGCACATCCATCCATCCATCCATCCAAACATCCATTTGATGTTGGAGCTGTTGATATACACTACCAGTAAAAACTAAAAGTTTTTTGCACACACAGATTTTCCACATTTGCATTTTACTCAATTAACATTTACTAAAAATACACGCAGTATTCTTTGCTAACAAATAAATTTACAATATGTTTACAATTTGAGTTACTTTACTAGCAAGAAAATTTCACATCTTTGATTCATCAATGTAACCTCCGCTAGCAGCAGAGAAAAACTTTCTACAAGGGATAATACATACTGCTTTGTTTCATGGGAAGAAACAGTTAACTAACGCATGTAAAGTTGAAGGACAGCCTAGAATTTGACAATGCCATCACCACACAACCAGTTAATAGGATGTCAGACATGCATATACTCATACTACATGTTCTTTCCATGTTATAAGGGAAACTTGTTATATTTGACTTATATTCTCATTTATAGTTGTTCACACTACCTTCCATTGATTAACAAGAATAAAAAATCCTAACTATTGTGTACTCACTGGAACACTCTATGGACATCTGTGTACCAAAGTTGCAGCTCAGTGTCTGTTGATCACTGCAGTTCACCAGGTGAGATTCACTCCCAGAGCACTGATACCCTGTCAGACACACATCACTGTCCCCTGTCCCAGACAGGGAGGAGCTGTACAGCCTCACTGCAGAGCCACAGCCCAGCTGCCTGCAGACCACAGAGGCCTCCCTGAAGCTCCAGGAGTCCATGAGAACTCTGCTCCAGGTCAGCTGGTAGTAAACCTCCACCTGACCCTCACAGCCACTATCTCCAGACAGTCGTACTGTCCCATTGAGAGCTGAGAGAGATTTAGACCCTGTGGATAGATCAGTCACTGTCAGTGTTTGTCAGATGTGCATGTTAGAAAAACAGCTTGTAGATCTACATTTACTTAATTATTGTATTAACTGCTGGAGTTTTGGTTGCTGATATGAATAATTCCTTCTACTGAGTAAATTCTATTGAGTCATTCATCCTTTTCAAATATTGCCATTAAAATGCCAATAACAGCCACACAGTTTTCAATGGTATAAGTGTTACAGAGCATTGTTGGATTTTCTATGAAACTAGACTGTCCTGAGTTTGTATTAACAGTTCAATTAATGATGCATAAAAATAATGTATATTTGATCATAATTCATGAAAAAGCCCAAATTACTAATCCATAGTTTGAACAAGTGTTAGCCATAGTACAGTCCTCACCATTACAGATGAGTCCTGCATCCCGTCCATGAGAGCATGCAGCTCGACTCCATGAGGACACAGCACACTGGGAGAGGTGTGTCTCATTCCCCTGGCACTCAAACACATCAGCCCAGATGCGGCCCCTCCCCTCTCCAAACCAGGCCTGTCCTGGCACTGCCACAGCGCTCCCACACTGCAGCTGCCTACAGAGGACACTGGCTGCTCTCATATCCCAGGATGCATCATACACTGTCCCCCACTCACTGAGGTACTGCAGCTCCACCCTCCCAGAGCAGGAGTCAGGGCCGCCCACCAGCCTGGAGTCTGTGTACCCTGCAACCAGCAAAAATGTGCAACAACAAAGAAACAAATAAATTCAAAATATCACCATGTAACAGCAATTAATTATTTCATTTGTTGCGTCTATGTTACTTTAAAGGGAGTATAATTAGCAACATTCAGTAATATTATCAGATTATCTAGTATCTAGTTTTTTGTCAATAAACGTGTAAGCCATTTCCCAGCATGGTAAATTAACTTACAGAAGCACTTCAGTCCCACGTCAGTGTCATGGTTGCAGTTCTGTTCCTCTGTGGAGGATCTCAAACACTGACCAAAATCAGATTCATCCCCTGTGCAGTTAATCTTCTTTGACCACACCTGCCCGCCCCCCTTCCCAAATGCAGCCCCCCTGGGCTCCTCCACAGGGATCCCACAGCCCAGCTGCCGACACACGACCTTTGCATCATGCAGGTCAAAGTCAGGATCACACACTGTGTACCATGAGCTTAGATGCTGGAATTCCAGTCTTCCAAAACACGGATGAGGCCCTCCTGTCAGCTGCATTATAGTTCCTTAAGTTAAAAAAGCCAAACAGCAAAATAAAACATATTGACAGACATCACTGAAGTAAAAACAGTTGCATGCTTTCTTATGGTAACTCCGTTGCAGTTATAATCTCTCCTTCATTATCATAAACATGAGGTTCTCTGCACTGAAGACATCGGGGGGCAGGTGGCCCTGTGGTTTTGGGCTATCGGTGATGTCATTAAGGTTACTGACCCTGATGGAGTCGCTACATTAGTGTCAGGAGCAGGACAAGGTAACCTGCACATGGGGAGTAAGGCTGGTGGTGTGTTTCCCTGAGTGTGGCTTTTGTTACAGCTGGTCCAGCATAAGACTGTGTATAGGAGGGGGTGGTCAGACTAGTAGCCTCACTAAACACCTTTGGTGGTGAGGTTAGGGTCCCAATCTCTGCTGTGGGTCGCTAGCTGCAACCTAGTGGTGTCAATAAACAATGTCTTAATAATAATACAAAGATAATAATGCATTCATCTACATTTTACAATAGTATAAAACACTACAATTAAACACAGTTTAGTTTTTAAGCACATTGACAGTTTCAAGCTAAATCAGAACAACCATAAGAAAAGTATCAGGCTTCACACACTCTTTGTATTTCTGTGTTTATTCCACTTGGTGGAATTATCCTTTATTCTCAGAGGTTTATGTTTGGAAAAAATGAGAAATATATGCAGTAGCCTTGAGTGCAGTGAGATGCAGTGCTAAGTATACATACTTTGTGGATAGCTACAATGACACCTGTGGGGAGGACAAACAAGTCTTTCAAAATTTAATTCACCGTTTTGCATTCATACATTGCATTAGTGCTTTCAGTACATATTAATATATTATTTTACACAGTTAGGTTTACAGTGATACCGTCTCTTGATGAAATGGGGCACACCAAATCAAACTGCCAAACTCTTCTGACACAACCGCATCTCCGCTCTTTAAATCCTTTCATGAAGCTAAAACTCTGTCAAATAGGGTTAGTTCTGAGCTTTCTGTACTGTTGTTATAACGTTTCCCATGGTCTCGGGAGAGTAAGAGGATCTCTGCAGGAGAGCACTTGTTAAATTGAAACACTGTTGTTTCCGGTCTGAATAAAGCCCACGGAAAAGCACCTCAAATTGGATGTCAATCACCACAACTGCTTACCAGGATGCTCCGTTCAGCTATTTAGGTATTTGTGCATAGCGCTAGTGCCATTATGGTATGCGATCGAACTTTGCACAGTGTAAAACCACCTTTTTGTTTTATGATAATTTGAACTACTCCTATAATTACGTAGTGATATTAAAGGAAAACATTTGTTATACAC